TGCCCAGCTGCACTACTTCCTGAACTTCAGCCAGCTCCTTGTTTCCTGTCTGCCATTATTGGCCAAATTGATTAATTCAGGTGTACCTGACCTCAGTAGTCATGGCAACAATAATCAGACACACCTGAATTAATCAATTTGGCCAATAATGGAGCTGGCTGAACTGAAGTTCAGGAAGTAGTGCAGCTGGGCATAAAGCCAATAGGGTATAGTCTCTATATGTGGGACTCTTCAGGGGGACTCATCTCTTCACCACACCGGAAGTTAAGTTTGGGCCAGATTAATGCACATGCACAGTACCGTTTGTTTATGTTGTCACTGCTGAAAGTGTCTAGACATTATGTAGCCCCGCCCCTTTTCAGCGTTGCGCTCATTACAATAAGTAAATCCACTGCAGCTAATTATTCCTAGACAGCGATGCCATAGAAATATACAGAACCGGAAGTTCAAAGACAATATTCTAAAGATGACATGCGCCCACGTTTCTCTGGTGCATAAGGTCTATATATGAAAAATGTTCTAAAATAGGTTATTCATTGAAGGTGCGCCTTATTATCCGGTGCGCATTAGTGCGGAAAATACGGAATATTCTCATCAGTGCACTCAATCAGCTTTGATATTTAAATCACCATATTGTAATTTCTGCACATTTAAAGGGCATCCCCTCCCCCAATATTATTAAATGTATGCTTCATCATTAATTTTAAATTCTTAAATTTGATCAATAAATTCAATTATTTCGAATAATGTTGATCAAATTAAATAATTTACACTGAAAAATTACAATTGCATAAAATAATGTTATGAAATTGATTTTTATTTTGGCTACATATAAGAAAGAATGATGCTACTTTTAAACATTTAACACTAAACCGCCAGTAGGTGGTGGCAGGCAACCGTCTCAATGAGTGAGTCATTGATTAATTCATTCAAACGATTCTTTCAAATGGCTGATTATTTCAAGAATGAGACAGATGTTTATTAATGGGTCATTGAATCTTTATGCTGAATCATTCAGTAATGAAAACAGGTTGAGTGTTCCTGAGATGCGCAGTGGTTCTGCTGTGATTTTTGTTTGGAACTATTTTCGCTGCTGAAACAGAACAAAAACAGCCAATATTACATCTAAGATGTAAGTGATTTAATAACTGTTTATTGAACTGTTGTTGGAAATCAATGTCACATTTTCAATCGTGATGGTGTTCAGGAAAAATAAATGAGGTTGCTTAACATATGTTAAAAATATAAAAACTACACATTTAGATTTTTATTGGCACTAGGACTATAACCAAATTTTTATTTATATAATTAGGCCCATTGATTCGTTTAATTTTACAGTTTTTGTTTTTTTATGTGTACATATGATATAGGCCTAAGCCAATTTAAATTGTATTGTATTTGTTGTATTTAAATTGTAAATTGTAATAGTGCATTTATGTATATATATTTTTTTTACATTTTTGTTTATATCATTTTTAGTTATATTATTAGGCCCATTTAATTTTACAGCAGTTTGTGTGTAGACTACAATGCTTATAATTCCATTTAAATTTTTATCGTGCGCCTTGAGCAAAAGTTCAGTTATCAAAATTCTGGCCTATAGTCAATTTACTTTAAAAACTTTTATGTATATTTTTGTTTATATAAATTTTGTTGGTATTATTAGGCCTATTTTTTCGTTTAAAGTCCCCGTGAAATCAAAATTGAACCTATTTACTTTGTTAGCGCATATTACTAGTCTTGTGGTGAACAATTAATCCGTGCAAGTGAATATATATTAAAAAAATGTTTTACCTTAGTAATCTTTAATCAAAATCTGAAAAGTTACTTCCGGTCTGGAACGGTTTCTTTTTCTGATGACGTAGGTTTCACAGTTTGGGTGGGGAAACGCTTAACCACTCCCCTCAAACCGTTAGTTTGCTATGAGCGAGAGATGGAGAGGAGGGGCGCTAGAGTAAAACCCTGCCCTCTGTTCAATATTCCGTTTCACTTGGAAATACGTCACTGCACTGGAGAAAAATCGTTTGCAACTTCCGGTTCACGGGGACTTTAATTTCACATCTAATATAATTGGGCCTCATTTGTAATAAGAAAAAAAACTAATGGCCAATTCTTGAAGGGGACGTCTCATTAAGTACACATACCTCAAATCAAACTATTTTACTGCAGCATTTTGGAGAAATGTCGCATTATTTGACTTCATAAATACGTAATTTCTAATAAGTAGAAAAACTAAAGGCCAATTCTAATAGGGGACATCCCATACAGCAGGGGTTCTCAAACATTTTGGTGCCAGGGACCCCTTTCAGGGGAAAAAAAATTCTTCTTTGGTTGCCCTAATGGTTAATCCGGCCCTGCTCCTTGGCACCACTCCACCAAGTAAACTTCCTTGACTTCCATACCGCGCTGAGTATTCATTCTCATCAAATCCCTTTTATTAGTTCAGGAGGCAGAAATGAGCATTTTCCATCCTCCATCCACTTAATTAACGCGAACTTAATCGGCTGGTACCGTCTACAATTTAGGCTGCAGTATGGTGACACCATAGACAGTAAAAGGGTGACACCTGACACACGCTCGTATTTGCGCCTCAGGCAACGGTTTTATGACGTCAAGGCTACTTTTTAAATTAACTAAATTGTTGAATTTTTATTGTATTTGCACTTACATAAAATGTTTTAGGAGTCTTTGAAATATTGTTTTTTACCTTTAAAATCGAACTATGCCATTTTATTATAACATCACTAAGGCGATGCTATGCATTGCGCATGCGCAGACAGTTACTCACACACAAACTGCCTGCGTGCGCCTGTACATCATCACCTTCCTTCACACAATAATAACCGACCCGGGAGAATACCGACCTCTACGATACCGACCATATACAGGTAAACGAGGGAACTAACTAGACAAAGGTGGATAAAGGTAACAGGTAATCAGGGATAAAAAAAGAACAGGTGCAGACAAGACCATTATAGTGACATTATGCCTGGATATAATTCCATACATTTTGGTTGGAAATGTATTTTCTTGATCCTGAAATATATTTTGGTGAATGAAGGATGAAAATAAATATATTTTAGATTTAAAAAAATATTTTATTGAATTTCACTGTTACAACAGCATTTTTTTTACCATATTACTCATTTCATCAAAAAGTAATCTGATTATGTAATGCACGTTATTTATTTGCAATGCATTACTTTACTTTTCATGTTGTAATATTCTAATTAGAACATGTTCTAATCTAACATCGGGCTGTAGATGTTTTAGCTATAGTTCTGTAGCCTATTTGATTTTGAAGTATACTTGAGTTGCTTGTGTGTATGTGTTTGTATTGTTGGATGTTATTTGTTACACTCAAATGTGCTGTGTCTGTCAGTTTTGGCCAGAACGCTCTTGCAAAAGAGATTTTTAATCTCAATGTGCTTCTTTCCTGGTAAAATGAAATGTTTAAATAATATCAAAGAGATGCCTTTGCAATATTTCGAATTTATTGTTAACAATAATATTGCTGTGTTATTGTATTGTGTTTAATACAGCTTTCTTCATTTTAAACCAACGCATGCTGTCCACTCATCTAAAAATCTCGTCGTTGAAAAATATGTGTAAGAAAAAAAAGTCAAATCTAATTTCCCAATCCTGACTGAGGTTATAATTCATACATGAAAGCGTTTGTACATTGCTATCAGGAGGATATTCTACTAAATACTGTACGAAACGGACATTTTTTTTTTTTTTTTTTTTTTTTTTTTTTTTTAAATGCTTTATTTAAACATTCAGTTTACAGAGTAAAACAACATAATAATAACATCAACAACATAATAGCACAAAAAAGAAATTAGACAACGATAAACAGGAAAAAAATAAAAAATAAAAAATAAAAAAATAAAAATAAAAAGAGGGCAATACATAGATGAAAATAAATCTAAACATTTAATAAAGTAAAAGTTTGTAGGACTTACAAATTTTACATGTTTTGAGTGCTTTTTGGGTTAAGAGAGGAAGAAATTGTAGTGAAGTAATGTTTTATCTCATGCAAGAACACCAGAAAAATTGGTTTACAATTTGAAAACTTACACTTGTGAATATAAAATCTACACAAGAAAATAAGTAGATTTATAATAAAGCAGGCATTTGAATCAGCTTCAAAAAAACCAAAAATAACAGTTTTGGGATTCATGGAGAAATTCTTCAAGATATTGCTTGAGATAAAACCACTAACATCTTTCCAAAGTTGCCGAGTAAAATTGCATGACCAAAATAAGTGAAGAAGAGTTTCAGTGTCATTCTGACAGAAAGAACAATTTGTGTCAAAATGAGATCTAAATTTTTTCTTTAGGAAATTTTTAACTGGGTAAATATTATGAGTTAATTTAAAGGATATTTCTTTGATTTTATTTGTGAGGAGAAACCTATGTTGCATGGACCATATTTTTTGCCAATTTAAGTTATCAAAAAGTCCATTCCGAAACGGACATATTTTGTCATATGTGGTGGGCTTTTTTTGCAGTCACTTTTAGAGGGTGGAGTTTGTTGTTGCTGCGCGCTGTCTAACAACCAGGAAGTCCTCAAAAAGTCATAGTTCACTTTCCAGATGCAAAGGAATGGCGTAAGTACAATATTAATCATTAATTTAATGCCGTCCGCTATTAAACTGCGTGTAAGTTACTTATGCGAAAGCGATTCTGATGTTCTGCTGTTCACCTGTTCATCCATGTCGGTTGATTCATGTCACGATAGTTGTTTTTTGGCATGTTTCCAAAGTGCATTTGGTTCCTCTTTGTGTTGTAGTGTCTGTTGTTATTAATGGATTTCAGTGACATTTTAAAATAGTTTCTGACATCAAATATGAACTTCGCTGCTTTCAATATAATGTTTGCATAAAGCTGTGCAAAATTAATGGATAGGTTAAGTGGAGAAGATATTTTGACAGCACGTATGCTTCCAGATGCATTCTTATCTGTGATGTGTTTCTGTGAAATAGAATATAATAGTACCTTTTTGCTTTCTTCTAGTTCGGGCATCTTTCTGCCATGAATAAGAGGAAATCTTGTGCTCACAATGTTGTAAAACCCTCCAAGACTCCTAGGACAGATGGTAAAACACACGTGCAGGATGAGGATGAGGTTGATGAGGAAGATGGAGTCCAGCAAGATCACTCACTCTCTTCTTTGGTTAGTTTAATTATTTCCTTAACTGAACTTGATAAGGGACAATGGTGTATTCATAATGAACATTACTGTGACAGTTCAGGTCCTAATAACATTTATCCAGATGTGTAAAGAGTGCCTGAAACCCATTCTTGAGGAAAAGTACAGATAACTTACACAATTATAATTTATATTACATTACAAGTTTCAAGTCACCCGTTCCAATGTGACTTGAGTAAAAATCTCAGAGTATCTGATTTTAAAAGTACTGAAGCGTTTTACTTGTTCTGAACATATGCTCAAGATGCACAATTTCTCAATACTGGAGAGACCTGCAGTGAAAACAGAAGAAGAAACAGTTGCTTTTTTATTTTCTAAAATCAAACTAAACCTCAAAATTCCAATAAATCAAGGTTGACATAACAACCTCAGTTAAAGGGATACTCCACTTTTTTTGGAAATAGGCTCATTTTGCCACTCCCCCAGAGGTAAACAGTTGGGTTTTACCGTTTTCGAATCCATTCAGCTGATTTTCTGATATTTAGAAGAATGTCAGTTACCAGACAGTTTCTGGTCTCATTGAGTTCCATAGTTGGAAAAAATATATACTATGGTAGTCAATGAGACCAGAAACTGTCTGGACTGTATTCTTCTAAATATCAGAAAATCGGCTGAATGGATTCGAAAATAGTAAAACCCAACTGTTTAACTCTGGGGGAGTGGTAAAATGACCCTATTTCCCAAAAAAGTGGAGTATCCCTTTAAGTCTAGGTTATGCTCAAGTGCTCAAAAATGGCCTAAAGGGATAGTTCAGCCAAAAATTTAAAATTTTTCCATTTCCTCACCCTCAAGTCATCCTAGATGTTTATGACTTTCTTCTTTTAGACAAATACAACAAATGAAATAAAAAATGTCTTGGCTCTTCCAAGCCTTATAACTGCAGTGAATGGCCATTTCAAGTCCATAAAAGTGCATCTATCCATCATAAAAGTGCGACACATGGCTCCAAGGGGTTAATAAAGGCCTTCTGAAAGCGCAAGTAAGTTTGTTTGTCTGTGTAAATATTACAATATTTTAACACGTTACAAAGTAAAATTCTAGTTTCCGGTCAAATGGCCATACGCAGTCTACTTGCGTCTAAAGCGCAACTTGTGATGTCGGAAGTAGCATAGTGTGTCATGGCGTAGTGTAAATATAAGCAGTATGTCGCATTATTCGCATAGTTGTGGTTACAGTTAAAGGTACAATATGCAGGATTTTTCGCCACCAGGGGTCGCTAACCTCTTACAATAATAAAGGCTTATCTTAATGACGTTTCATCCGCATTTAGTTAAATAATGGATCTTGCCATCAAGCTGATGGATCTTTTATGGATGAGTGAATAAATTGATGTTTTTAACATGACTGTGGTATGAAGCAGAGCACGATTGCTAGACTATACCAGTGACACACACAAAGTGAGTCCCGCGGATATAAAAGAATAAGGACGTTTAATTCTACCGATACTGTTAGGTCATTTTACTGAACTAATGAATTAAAACACAGGTCATTTTATTAGAGGAATTACACTTGAGGTAACGCAGCACTTTTTCGCTTGCTCTATCAGTTACACCATCACACTAAATGGCATCTGAGTGTGTTGAATGTTGTTAGTTAGGTTGTTTGTTGGCTGTATGAGACTGAGCTAGATTAACATTAGAGAATAGCATACAGATCATATTCTAACATTTCGTCATGTTGAACTATGTACATAACATTGGTTCGTTTTTTGTGTACATTTGCTCACCTGTCTAATAAAGTAACATGCAACACTCGCATCTCTGTCAAGTCAAAGATAGTCGCGGACGTGGAGCTGTCGGCATCTCTAAAGATGTTGATCTTCGTTTTAGTCCTCTTTTTGTCTCAAAGTCTGCTGGCCATGGTCCATAATGTTTGAACAAAACAACAACAGCGACAAAAACAACTAAACAAAATATATAACATTGACCTTGTGGTTTTTGGATATCTTACTGCAAAAATCCAGCATGTTGTACCTTTAAGTGGAATCTGTATGTTAAATTTGGCCGGGAACTAGTTATTTTACTTCATAAAGTTTTAATATGGATATTTTTCGTACACAAACACATCGCTTCACTTCGGAAGGCCTTTATCAACCCCCCCAAAGCCGTCCTTCAAGATGGCCTGGCTCGATCGACTGACTGTGCATCATTAAATATAAGCAAAGGTTTGACTATTCCTTTTAACTCTAATGAAATGATGTCAAATTCACGGGCTGATCTGAGATACAGAAAAGGCCCTGAGACTTCTGCTGCATTTCATTATATAGGCTAACAATGGATATTTGCATTCAGAAATTACACATTTTGGGTGTATGGTCTCTAGAAACCTTTTTCTAGAGACCATATTCCTTTGTGTGCCAGTCATCCCTAAACTCATAAAAACCTTATTACCTTTTGTTTTACTATGCACCCATAGTACTTTCAATGCCCAGTAGATGGTGAAATCACTTCTTTTGTAGCAGAAATAAACTGCAGCAGAAGAAAATTGATGCAAAATGTAACGAGTAATTGCATTACTCATCACCGATGTATTTGGAGTAAAAAGTACATATATTTATTCAAAAATGTAGCCTAAAAGATACTTAAGTACAGAAACTGATTACATTTGCTTAAAACTTTACGCCACTGCATTTATCTTGTGCTGTTTCAGAGTGCCGGAGACATCGGCGTGATAGAAAGTATCACTTTAAGGAACTTTATGAGCCACCATTCGCTTGGACCTTTCAAATTTGGACCAAATGTCAACTTCATTGTTGGGAACAATGGAAGTGAGAATTTCTTTCATTCAAATTTATATAATATGAACTATTTGAATGTACAAAAACAGTCAAACATTTATAGACACTGGAAAGCATTTAAAATAAATTGTGCCTACATGAGATTCCTTTCAAAAGTTTTTTATGGCTGTTATTGGAGCAGATTGTGAAGGAAATGCTTATTTCATAGTTTTGATGACTTGACTTTACTGTTGTCTGAAAATGTGCAAAATTCAAAATGATCACAGCAAAATCCCCAGTGTTAAATTAACACTGAAAGTGTGAGTTATATAAACTCTGAGCAGAGTGTTAAATGAACACTGAAGCAGTGTTAAAGTTAATGAGATAAATAAGTGATCAATTAAGTGGTGATTGAGTATTATTAAAGACACCTGATGGTGTTATTTTTTTCTATTTATTCATCTGGCTGTTTTAACTCATGTACAGCTGCCAAACAAAATATAAAGTTAATGATTTAAGGGTCAAGAGCCCAAATAAAGTGAACACTGATCACCATAATGGTGACTTCAAATGACAGTTTTCTCCTTCAGTGATTCTGCTTGTTATGTGTCTTCAATAATGCTCAATTTTCACTCAATTATTCACTTAATATTATCTCATTAACTTCAACACTGCTTCAGTGTCCATTTAACACTCTGCTCAGAGTTTATATAATTCACACACTCTCAGTGTTAATTTAACACTGAGGATTTTGCTGTGTGATGAGTGGATGTGTCCAGACTTTTGACTGACAGTGTATAAATACTGTAAGTCCCCACTTTGCCCGAGATAATATTCAAAGGCCCTCTTATCTAAGCTGATATGTACCTCTGTTAAATGTTTTTCATATTTATTTTGAGTGTTTTTTAGCGTTTTAATTAAGAATTTGGGTAACACTTTATTTGAAGGGGTGTGCATAAGATTGACATGACACTGTCATAAACATGACATAACACCTGTCATGAACATGAAGGAGTCTTTATGAATGTTTATGACTGTTGTCATTAAGTGTCATTCGGTAAATTATGACACTTTTAATGCAAAGTTGACATAGTTTAAAATGTCTTTGTTATGACAACTTGACATTAACCAAGAAATCATGTCATAACAGGTCTAATCAAACTTAAAGAAGTTATTTAGCTTTGTGTTAACATTACATTACCCTGTCATATGTTATGGTTGGTTTTAACTTTGGTTGTCATGACACCATTATAACTGTGACAGGAATATTTTACTTGTCCTCAAGTAAAGTGGAACACATTGTACTAGTTATAAAGATGTCATTAAGGGTTATTACACTGTCAAATGCTTTTACAACAGTGTCATTAATATTTCTCCTTACCTCAAGTAAAGTGGAACATGTTGGACTAGTTATGATTTCTTGGTTATTGTCAAGTTGTCATAAAAAAGACATTTCTGTCTTTGTTAATGTCAAGTTGTCATAACAAAGACATTTTAAACAATGTCAACTTTGCATTAAAAGTGTCATTATTTACCGAATGACACTTAATGACAACAGTCATAAACATTCATAAAGACTCCTTCATGTTCATGACCGGTGTTATGTCATGTTTATAACAGTGTCATGTCAGTCTTATGCACACCCCTTCAAATAAAGTGTTACCAAGATTTTTATGTAACTAAATTTAAATCATTTTAAGACTATTTTTTAAGAGTGGGTGCTGCCCCATAGTTAAGAACCACTGGTATAAATGTCTCAAAAACATGAAAGTCTTAACAATGTTGTTACTCAAAAATCACTCTTTTCTCAATGTATTTTGTGATGCTACTCTAAGCTGGGAAAAGTGCCATTCTGACAGCACTTATAGTGGGTCTTGGTGGAAAAGCAACTACAACCAATAGAGGAACATCTTTGAAGGGCTTTGTTAAATATGGAGAGAGGTCAGTATATTTTAGAAGGAAAACATCACTGATGTATCTCTATATTATAAAATAACGTATTGATCCTTTTGTTTACAGTTCTGCAGACATTAAAGTGAAATTAAAAAACAGAGGAAACGACCCTTATAAAGGTGACATTTATGGAGACAGCATCTGCATTGAGCATCGGATCTCAAGTGATGGTTGCAGGACTTGTAAAATCAAGAGTAAAATG